GTGTGTGTGTGTGTGTGTGTTTGTGTTTGTGTGCACAATATGAGATCATAGAGTGTGTGTTTCCACTGACCACCCAAGGTATGTCCCATCTGCTCAATGTAGCATGTACACCTCCTCCTGTTTGTCTGTTTGTGTTTGTGTGAGAGAAGTCTGAGCACAAAAGTGTGTTTACATCAAATGTGTGTTTGTGTGTGTGTGTGTGTGTGTGTGCACCTCTACTCCCTCAAAGCCTCTCAAGTCATTCCTGCACACCTTACAATGCGCCGGCTGTCGTACCTTGAACATTACCTCCTAGTAAAGTGACATACCATAATAAATCTCCCTGTGTGCCTGTGGGCTTCATTATCATAAACACTAGAATCTGCAGAGCATCATTCTCCATCACTTCCCTAAAACAAAACGTTAAGTGAAGGGATTTCACGTTTACGATGCTGAACACGAGGTCACGTTACATGTGGCGTAGGCCTCGCTGACGTTCTACGTGACGCAGCGGTCTTCTCCAGGCCGTAGACACGTGTCGTACTGTTGTGGCTGCCGCTGCGAGGCATCTGAGCGGCGGGTTGAGGTGCAGATGATTCGAGGCGTCAGTGAGTCAAGCTCACAAAAAGATGTTTGGCATCTCAGTGGAGCGTGGGGAGCAGTTCCTGTGCAGGGATGTGTCCCAGCCGCTGAATAATTGATGAGGGCGATCAGGAACAGCATATGTACACAGGCTCCATCGGTGACCTCGGTTGATAACCATCACTTGCAAGCCATGAAATCGTCAGCTTCTCCTCACTGTGAGGGGGCCGGGGGTTCATGGGGCGGGGGGGGGGGGATTCTTAATCCAGACAAAGAGATCGAGTCGGCTTAGAGAAAGCCAACTATTTGAAATCAAAGCAGTTTAACCTGTTCATACCACAGCACACACGTCTCAAACTTCTTATCGTTTATAAACTCGTCTGTTAGAGAGCGGAGGAAGCAAGAATTCAGAAACCTGCCTGCATGCTAACATGTGAGAGCTGGATCGTTTTCTCTTTTGCTTTCGAGATTGATACCATTAGCAATAGGCTACAACCGCTATCATGCTAGCTTAGCTTAGATTAGCATGTCTGACAGAGGAGCAGCTAGTTTGCAGTTAGTTTACTTTAAACAGCTAGTCTGTGTTAAGTTTGGAAGTCTATCTGCTAACCTTTCTAAACTGGAATGTTTTCCTTTTCTTTGCGATTGAACTATTAATAGCACTCTTGTAAATAACAACTTACTGCCTAGTTAGCTTAGCTTAGCACAAAGACAGGAAGTTGCTGTGATCATCTAATAAATAGTCTCTCACGAACATGTTTTTACACTTTTTATACTAATTTAACAGATTTAACATGATGTGTTAGCGTACTGTGTTTTAATGGGACAGAGCTAAGAATGTCTTTGTGCTAAGCTAAGCTAAAAGGCTGCTTTTCATAAGCAGCTTCACATTTTAAACGTACAAACACGACTCAATAAAAGCGACAAGCGTTTTTCCCAGACGTCAATAGTTTATTTAAAACATAGAACATAATGTATTTAAAGAAAGGGATGATAAATCAGGTTTGGGATATTTCCTGAAAGTTAATTTTCACCACCTGCTCTCACACCTATGAAGCCATGTTGGACCTGAATGTTCTTTTTCTGCACATTTAAAACCTGCGTCATCATAACAGAGCAGAGTTGATTTACTGTACAGGCCTGTTGCATCTTTTCTCTCTACACACGAAGCACCTGCAATATGTATCTGCTCTGTCACTGAAAACTATTGCACCACTGATGTTTAGTTTTCCACAGTATTATCAAATGAATTCTATAAATATATGAGGATTTTTCTCCAGGAGGAAAAATCGATGCACACTGACTGTTAACTCCTGTCTGTTTCCTTTTCTTCTCCGGTCTCTGTGTGTAGAAACTGCCATCGTTCTCGTTGTAAATGGTGTTTTCTGACAAACTGCGTTCTGGTGCTGTTGTTGTTTGACTCGATGTGTTACAGTTTAGATCTGCTCCACGGTGATCTGTTCAGCTGGAGCATCTGGTTCGAACTGAATAAAGATTTTTTTGGCAGCTGTTTGTTAGATGCTCTCACTGTCTTTTTTCTTTGTATCTCTGCTGAGGCCAAAGAATGAAACAAATACGCAAAAGTACAAAAGTTACTTATTTTAAGACAATGACTAATTTTCCATCTCCAGAGGTAGATTGTGATCAAATACATTTACTCAAGTAATTGAGGACAATTTTGACTTTTTACTTGATGCACTTCATCAACACGACAACTTCAGACATAAAATTCATTGTT